TAGTGGAAATCCGCCAAAAGGATTCTCAAAAAGATTTCGTTTATTTAGCGGTTGATTGTCTTAGCAGCAGGTTTAGTTGACTGGATTAGGTATGTGGCAATAATTTGAATAAACGAACCTTTGAGTGTCAGTGACGGAAATTTTTATTTTGGTACGTGAAGTTAATGCTGTAAATAAGTATTCAATAATTAAGTAGGTAAGTGTTTCTTAAAGACAAATAAGATGTCTTATATCGTGTGTAGTAGTTTTATTTTTGATCACGTCTGATGCAGTATTGTTTGTAATAAGTACCTTGGGTATATATGGTAGCGTCCATAGTTGTAATTCTTAACATAGGTAAAGTGGGAAATTCACGTTCAATCATAGTCACTGACAGGTCGATGCCTCCCATTTTCGCTAATCGTATTATTCATGCAATGCTTCTTTGCACTGTTTCTTGCAGGAAGAACTTTACGTCGCGGAATAGATTTTGGCTGAGACACATTCATCAGTGATGTAAAAACCGCGACCTCCGGTCTGGACTGAACAGCAGTTCAGTTTCAGTGGTATCCGCAACACGGTCCATTGTATTCATTTTAGGAATTACAACAGTTCTGAAGGCATACCATAAGTTTTAAAAGTTTTAGTTTGAGCAGTGCAGCAACCACAGTGTAATGTGATATTTTCCGTTCAACAAACAATACAACATAAAAGAAGCTGAAAAAATATCCTTTTGTTTTTTCCGTCTCAGTTTTTTGAAACAAGGGGCAAGATTGGCCTGCACCGTAGCTCTATGTAGCTTCGGATAGCGTTGATCGTGCCTGTAGTTCCCTGATGTTCGTAATGGATACCTAGAGTCTGTAGTGATTAGCCCAACTGTAGGATGAAAGGACCTCTTTATTTCACACGAGAAATAATATTTGAAATGGAACACAACCTGAGAACCCTGATTGAAGGATTACAAGTTAAGGTGATTATTAATCTTGGAAGATTCATTCATTTTTAAATTCCGGTGTTTCTTTCGGACCCCGGGAGCAGCTGCTTCATGATGCCTCTCCAGTGATTCTGTTCTGCCGCTACTCTGGTACTTTTATATAATCGATTTATCTGGTTCATTTTAAAAACGTCGTTTGGTAAATTTAGTAGTTTTATTTTGCTACGCAGCGCAATGGTACTCTAGAAGCAGGCATCAAGTGGTCTGCTGGTCCGTTTAGCTGAAGTACTGACTCGCGATCACTGTTCATGAGTGCTGACCCTTAATAGCATTGAGTTAGTCAAGGGAAGTCGTTTTGTTATACCCTCTACCATTTAAGCAAGAAAATCCAGCGTGTAGAATCACGTCTAATGAAATACCCGGATGACGTTTAATGAATGATATCGAGAAGTCGATAGAAATGGTATATTCACCTCACTGGTTCGTACATTTCTGAGGAAGATGGCTAGAAACCGTGTTTCATAATGTTGAACTTTTCAACAGGGAGATATTCACGATGTTCACCATTTTTAGTCACGCATAATGCTGACAACTGATAATAAAAATTCATCTGTCAGTTTGGCGCAGGTGATTTGCAGTCATTTAAATGGTTCATATGAATATGATTCGTGATGACTAAAATATGCTATATGACTCAGGTTTTCATAAGATTTTACAAATGGCTAGTTGTACTGGAATAAGGGTAATAGTACCTGAAATTTACTTCGAAAAGTTCTTGCTATCCTCCCTCCAAACCACCAGCTACATGCATCACTGGTTTGGAAAGATTGCAGATAATCTACGTTTTC